TCGAATCCTTTTGGGCTTAAGTAAAAGAAAAATGGGAGATGAAACAACAATAATTCCTGCGAAATCAACAACAATTAAATGGAAATTAGGGGATGAGGAACACGAAAAGATTTGGGCATTTTTGGTTTAACGACGACAGCTTTTCCCCTGGTCTTCATGACCAGATTCAAAGTATGGCTGATGAATTTCAAAAAAAAAAAAAAACATTAATGGAGATCGGAAAATAAAGGATAAGGATTTTTTTAGAGTTTAATATCCTATAAGGGATAAGGAAAACAAATGACAGCAACGACTGACATGCCAAATGGCTCAAAAAGAATATATGAATTTACAAAAAAATAAAAAATTTCCTTGAAATTCTAAGAGATTCATTTAACAGGGAGATGAAAAGCCATGAGATGGAGTTAACGTGGGCTGATGCGGCTGAAGTGCCAGTGTTCATATGTCATAATTCTAACATAGATGAAAATATATATGCTAGATGTGTTGATATTTTAAAAATATTTTTAACTAATTATTGTATTAAGAATTATGTTAATAATTTAATATTAAAAAATATGTTAATATTTTTAAATAATTTTGATTAATTACTATATTAAGAATTATATTAATATAAAAGGATGTGTTAATATTTTTTATTCAATAATTTTTTTTTAAATTCATAAAATATCAAATAAAATTCAAAATATTTATTCATGCTCATTCTTCTCCTCACATTCCACTTTATTCCCATTTGCTAATTTTGAACAAATCTTGGCAAAAGGCTTACAATGTAAAATCAAGAGTAAAATGAAAATTTTTCTTTAAGATGAGAATGGTGGATCGAACTCAATTGGAAATTGATACGACCAAAATTACCATTGATTTCAAATGATACGTGTCAGGGCTTCGTATTTTTGTCACGAACTTGGGACTTATACCAAAACTTCATGTAGCCTTAGGTCGAAAATTCCCTCTTTGCATGCCTAAATAAGCCTAAATCACCCTAGAAGAGTGAAGACTCAAAAGAACAATTGAAAAATACTAAAAAATAAGAAAGCCTAGAAGATAAGAGAAATGTTGGAAATATTGTAATATGTATTGTTCAAGTGTTTCTGTACATCCAATGAAGGTGAAGAGACCCTTTATTTATATTTGAAGCCCCTATAAATCAAATGTCAAAATTGAATCAATCAAATGGCTATTATAAAGTCAAAAATTATAAAGAGATTATGTAAAAGAGTTTAAATTTTGTAAGGAACTATCCCATAACCTAGTTAGCCTTTTAGATCCTTTTAGAAGGTTGTTTCAACACTTAGGCTTATTAAAGCCTAGTTTGCCTGCATTTAGGCTTGATGTGTTTAAGGCCCTTTTAAAAGTGATTTATTTGGCCTAGGGAGCTTGTGCAGGTGACCTTGCGCTTGTTGCACCTAGGGCTTAAACCCCCTTGATTGAACCAGTTGATCATGCTTGGGTCTTTGGTGTGCTCACACGGGCCATGATATTCTTCTCCACCTAATCTTGCAACACCCTTATCGTATCCTCTAAGTGAAACTGTCTGATCTAATCTTCAAACTGTTATAGATCCTCAACTAGTTACCAATTAGCCCCATTGTTGGGAAGTTCCTTTTATTGTACTAAATACTTATGTCTTGGTCTATAATTTTGTCGCATCAAAACCCTATCAATTAATATGTACTTGATATTTTTGTTATATAAGGGCTTCATCCTCATGGGTGTAAATTGTTACTTTGTTCATCTTGGATCCTTTTTATCTTAATGATACGGTTTGAGCATGCTAACATGGACATGATTTTATTTATCAAAAGCTTGCTAGCACTCTTGACTTTAGTCCCACACTCTCCCCTCTTTGTGCATGTCTATTAATGGTGTAGTGATAGTAGAATGGCTTTTAATAAAGCACTTTTAGTAATTCACCAACCCAAGAAATGATCTTAAATCTGTGACCTTAGTTAGTGGCTCCCAATCTAGTATAGCATGCACCTTACTTCCATCCATCTAGATCTTACCACTTTTAACGATGTGGCTTAAGAATGGCATTTCTTTTTTTACAATACTTGGAACACTTGCCTAATATGCTCTACATGCCCTTTAGTGCTTAGTTGGAAATCATAATATATCAAGATAAACCATAACAAATCGATTCAGAAATGGATGTAGTACCTTGTTCATTAAGGTGCAAAAGGTTGCCAACGTATTAGTTAGGTCGAATAGCATCACTAAGGACTTATAAAAACCATAACAGGTAACACAAATGTTTTGGGTTCATCCCCTTTAACAATTCTGACTTAACACTACCTTGATTGCAAGTTTGACTTGAGAAGCCACCTTTCATCTTCAAGCTGGTCAAACAAATTTACGATGAGTGGGATTGGATACTTATTCTTCATTGTCAACTTGTTCAGTGTCTTGTAATCTATACATAGTTACAATGGCCCATTATGCTTCTGTTAGAACAAAACTAGGGCATCATATAAAGCTTCTAATGGCCTAATTTTGCTTGTATCAATAATCTCTTTAGGCTATCTTTGTAACACCTCTAACTTTTGAGGTGACATTCACTATGTGTTTTTAGCTGGTGGTTCGACGTTTAGCACCAGATCAATCTTATGATCCATCTTTCTCTTTGTCAACTCTATAGGCATCATGTCTCTAAAAAACTTTAGCACTTCTAGCACTTTTAAAGGGTGTCAACACTATTATATCTAGATTCATCCATTTTCAAGACTATTAAAAATGTGTTTTTATTCTTGTTCACTCATTTGGCTAGCTATATGGTAGACAACATCTTAGATTCTAATCTCGATTCTTATCTCACTAGCACAATGCATGGATATCAATGGTATAATCTACAAATATAATTGGCAAAAGACATAAAAAAGTACAATTATCCAGTTAAGAAATTTTAAACCAACAACAAGCTCATAATTGTTTAGAAGAATTATCTCAATGGATTCTTTGTCTTTTCAGCCACCAAGTTGTAGCTCCGTTCTATGTGCTACATCAATTGTTGTTACCATCATAGAGTTAATTGTTTTGATTGAACCAGCCCTTTTTTCACGTTAAAGTTTAGCTTCTAGGCTGTATCTCTAAATATAAACAAGTGAAGTGATCTTGTATCCATGAGTGCATTAATTTATTTACCCACAACCATCATGTCCATGAACATTAGTCACTTCTACTTTTAGCACCTTTTGAACAAATCTTCATGGTTTCCTTTTTTATCTCATCATCAGCCTTTTTGTTGATGGTACATAACTTGGTTTTCTTGGGCAATATCACGATATGTGTGCACATTGACATATGTAGCAAGCTAATGGCTTTTAATCCTCACTGACCTATTATCTTAACCTTTACTTTCTAGTTGGTGACTTCCATTAACCATTCTTGGTCTATTAACCTCTGTCCCCAACCTTAGACTATCAATCTTTATTTCCACAACCTTTGCCTTTGCCTTTAGATTTGGATGACATGGACTTGTTATGTAGCCAAGTCTCCACCAAGGATTCAACAACTATCATGGCCTTGGCTAGATCCTAGATATGTTTTTGCTTCAACTCATATTTGGCCCATGGTTTAAGTCCATCTATGAAATAAAATAGACATTTTTTTATCTCTAAGGTTTGAAATTTGGAGCATCAACTTTAAAAACTCCCAAACATATTCTCTCACTTTGGCCCTTTGAATGAGTCTAGGCATCTTTGACTGTGCCTTATCATTAGAATATTTTTAGTAAAATTGTTGTTTAAATTTTGTCTTGAACTCCTCCCAAATCCAGACAACAACACCTTAATCGCTTGCATCATCACACATGTGTTAACAACATAAAGTATAATGTTAACCAAATACATTAAGGTTGTGTTTACCTTAATTGCATCAACCTTGATACCCATAACTTGGAAGTATTACTCCATTCCTCATAAAAAATTGTTTATATCTTTTGCAAAACTGGCTCTTTTGTACTCATTTGGCTTAGAAACCTATATTTGATCCTTAGTTGTTACAACTAGCAAATCACTCCCTATGACTGCTTTGCATGTTCTGAACTCCCTCTTAATCTCCTTAATCTCCTTATGCATCATTTCCACTACAGCTTACGCATCATTTCCACTACAGCTTCTAAGGCTTTATTTTTTTTGGGTAAACATGTTATGATCTCATTAAGGGCACCATGGAACTCTTCCTTGATCTTCTCTTTTATTTCTTCGAGCTTTTCCTTAATGTCCAACACGGTTACTTCCACCTCGGTTAAGTAGCCTTCAAGGTCAACATGATGTCCCTTGAGCTTATCTTCTTGTTCTTTCCTAGACCTCATGCTATTGACTAGTAGTATTACTTTGAAATGCCATTTCCTTGAGCACTTTGAATACAAATTGAATACAATCTTTAAGCAAAACTTGGTTTTAATACTAATTATCATAAGTCCGAGATTTATGCCAAAACTCTGTGCAGCCTTATGTTGGTTGAAAATCCCCTCTTTTTTTGCCTAAGTAAGATTAAGTTACTATAAAAGAGTGGGCATTCAAAAGAACAATAAAAAAGCACTCAAAAGTAAAAAAATTTGAAAGATAAAGAGAAATGTTAAAAATATTGTAACTTATATTACTCAAGTATTTTTATATATCAATAAGGTAGGAAAACCCCTATTTATAATTAAAACTTCCATAAATTAATGACTAGAATTTAATCAATCCAATGACTATTATAGAGTTCAAAATTATGAAGAGATTACATGAGAGCTTAAATTCTATAAGGAACTATCTCATAGTCTAATCAGTCTTCCAAGTTATTTTGAAAAATTGCTTCAACAGTTGAGGCTGTTGAAGCCTGATTTACTCGCAGCTGGGCCTGGTGCACCCGGGGCCTTCTAAAAGTGATTTACTTAGCTTGGGAGCATGTGCGGTCGTCCTTTACACCTGTTTCGAGCCCAAGGCTGAATCCTTTGATCGTGCCTGGGCCGCGTAACATTTTGACCCGCCAAATCCCAAAATGTTGAGGCGGCAAGTTTCATTAAACTGTTTTTGGAGCCAAACTCTAGGCGGGAAAAAATATGTTGCCCAAAGTTTTTTCATTTCATATTATCATTTTTTTTTAATACAAAAAGCTCATTAAAGTAAAGCAGCAAATTTGGAATCTGAAAAATCTTGAGTTATTATCATCATCGCCGTTGAGTCCAAAAAGAAGAAAGAAGAAAAAGTAGTTTCTTTTCTTCCTTCTTTCTGTTGTCTCTTTTATCTGCAAAAATCAATCTTCATTTCCTTTTCTAGGGTTAGGATTTGGTGCTTCTCGGTGGCAATGGCTGATTCAGTGCTGGTAATAGACGGTGATGATGATCCGAAAGTCCCCAAAATAGACGGTCTAGATCAACCCAAGAAGACCCAGAAGCGAAAGAGAACGTCATGGGTTTCGGAGACTTTGAACGGTGAACAAAGAGAGACCCAGATCAAGGGATTGAATCAAGAAATGGAGGGGCTTTTTGGGTATTACAAAGAAGTGATGGAGCAAAAATCGGGTTTTGGAATGTGGTCCGACATGGGGTTAGTTGAACCGGGTTGTTCCTTGAATTCAGTTGTTGCGGTTCTCATGGAGGAGAGCGATTTGCCGCTGTCTAGATTAGTGGAGGCAATTCATGAAAAGATCAAGGACAAATTGGGAAATGTGAGTTTGGCTGCGGTGAAAAGCGCGGTGCTATTTGTAGGGCAGAGATTGAAATACGGATTGGGTAATGAAGATGCTGATGTTTTGGAGGATGATTCTCATTCTTCTCTTTGGTGTTGGGAGGTGTTTTTTCTTATTCTTTCTTTTTGGGTTTTTGTTGCTTTTTTACGTTTACAATTCTCATGTATAATATTTAACTTGTTTACACTCTCATCTGATAGACGAGAGATGCAAAATTGATGCCAAAATCTGTGCGTGCCACATTAAAAATTCGGCGTTGTTGTAGGAAGAAGATTAATGAGAGGATTACTGCTGTTTCCGGTAAGGAGAAATTTATCTGACTGCATGTTTGAATCTGTTCTGATATTCGCTGGGTTTCTTTGCTATTGAATTCTCTCGATTCTTTTCATTCATGTTTGATTAGTGATGTGAATTCTGTGTTTACCGCGAGCAATTCTTTGTTTGTGTGTGTTTCTTTTCTCTTCTTGTAATTTAGATTTGCCTTATCAAGCTTTCCTTGATTTTCACTCCATCCTCAAGTGGCAAATACGTTAATTCTGTTGCTAGTGGCAATTATTTTAGAGAACAAGTTTTGAAGAATCCTGTCAGCTGGAGTTCTTTTCCCCATCTAGTTACGAATGCCTTCCAATCGTCTTTCTTCACTAGTACCTCTGCTGCAATTTCAGATATGCTGTTAATGGTGTTTAGAAGTTTGACCATGAATCAATCCTTGCCAAAAGTATTGAACTGTTGTGAATATCATCTCCATTGGAACCTTGAATTCCCTTTGTAGATTTTTAACAGCTTCATATTAATGTTGCATATGAACATAATTTAGAGTATTGTACTTTTGAAAGAGGAGCATCTTCCATCAGCTTCACGTCAGTGTCATCATTTTGATGTTGAGATTTGGGAGGTTTAAAGAGGAATTCCTCATCAGAAGCAGTCCCAACTTGTCATACAAGTTCCAGATTTATTGTTTTTCATTTTAAAGAAAATTTTGGTATTAGCTGCCCATATTGAAAGATGTACTGATACCTCAACTGCTTAATGATTATTTTGACATCTTTGTAATCTTTTGTCCATATATAACATGAAAGTTTTACTGTTCAGTAACAACTAACTACAGTAGTGTCAGAATTACTAGCCACTGTCCTCAACTCTTTGGCCTAATGCCTAAGGAGCTCTTAGGAGGATATAGAGGTCTTGGATTCGAACGTAGACTTCCTCCCCTTCCCCATGGGCTATGCCCATCTTCTGTACCAAAAAAATAAAAAAAAGAAGTCACAGTTACAGTGAGTACTAATTTGAGTTATTCATTTGAATGCCATCTAAAGGATAGCTGGTACATGGTGATATCCAGGAAGGTTTTCAAGATCGCATACCCATGGCAAGAGAATTGGATGCTTATATCTTGGCTCCAACTGTAAAAATTGTTTATGTTTGATATTGGGCTGTATTTATTGTGACCATATTTTATAACTAAAGCATTAGGCCATTGGTTTTTTTGTTTTCCCCTTTCTCTCCAGGCTTTTGTGTACTTCCAATGTTCTGACACTGTGTGCAAGGAAAGGAGTCCACTCAATAGTGTGCATATTAGAGTTTGGCTAAACAATATTGACTTATGCAAATCTTAATTTCCTTTCCCTAATGGTGTGAGGTGGAATTTACTCATTCTGAAGTAGCTCCTGTTGATATCTTCTTTCACTTGAACTTTTCAGGCCCTGTTAAAGTTTTATAGGTAATAACAGATGTATTAATTAATCCATTCATAATTCATTGTTTTGCACTGTAGGGATGTGGAATATTAATAGCTTACCCTAAGTTAATTGGGAAAAAAAATTTCTTGCAGCATCTTTTGTCTATTGACATATTATATGCCCTGTTAGCCATCTTTCCTACTTATTTAGATGTTATTTGCTTTTGACTGAGGGATGTGTTGTTGAATTGATTTTCATATTGATAAAAAATAAGAATTGATTTGATGTTTAATTCTTTGGCATGTTTTCTGTCATAGAATATGATGAGAAACTTTTCAATTGTAATATGCTAATTTATGCTTCAAGTAGGTTACTGATATTTGTTTCTCATTTCAGCAATGATAACTATGTTACAAAAGTCAGAGAATGGTCAGAACTACAAGCATGATTTCATGAAAGCATCAGAAAAGCTTGTCAAAGTATTAAGTGAGGCAGACATTCGCTTGTTAATGAGTAGCATGTTACAGAAGAGTGGTGCTGAGATGCACGTATCTATAACAGTTCTATTTGTTTTGTGCTTAAATTATTTTCTTTACAGTAAAGTTTTATCTGCTGCTGTAGGGCTGAGAAAGAAGCAAAGCGAGAAGAAAAATTGTTAATAAAGCAATTGGAGAGAAATAAAAGAGAAATTGAGAAGGAGAAGAAGAAAGTGGACCGTGAACTTCAGAAGGAAAAGTTGCAAAATGTATGTGCAAAATTTCAACATGTGGGAACTGATTATTATCTATATTTTTATTTTTAGTTTTGTGGACTGTGCTAATGGAGTGTGTAAATCTGAATTATTTGCTGGAGAGTGACTAGTGTTGGGTTAACAAAATTACCTATGTGCTATTTACAGTCAGTGATCTTTTTTACTACTCAGATGTTCATGACCATAATTTATTTCAGGAAAAGGAGAGAAAAAGGTTGCAGGAGGAAGCAGAAAAGGATGAAAGGCGACGCGAAAGAGAGGAGGCTGAGATGAGGAAGCAGCTGCGAAAACAGCAAGAGGAAGCTGAGAGAGATCAACGGCGGCGTGAGAGGGAACAGGCAGAATTGAAAAAGAAACTTTCGATACAAAAGCAAGCTTCAGTTATGGAACGCTTTCTCAAAAAATGTAAAACATCATCATGCCAGATTGAGGAATTGACTAAGCCAACCACATTTAGTACATCCACCCCAAAGACTGAAAAGGTGCCTGAAGCAATTATTCTTTCCATGGACAGCACTCTTTTATCCAGAGAAGAAACTAATACCGATGATCTCCGCAGGTGACTTTCTTTGTTTTCTTAAGTTGTATAATTTTTCAGGCATTGGTTTTATTTTGTTTCAAGTTCACATACTATTATTGTACTTTACAGGTTGCACTTATCTTCTTGGCGTCATTTAGGTCATTCTCTTCGATCAAATCAAAAACAGTGGTGGGGAATGCGTACGAAACCTAAGACCAAACTGTTTAAGGAACTTAAGTTAACTGCTAATAAAGGGTTATCCCATGATGAATTGATTGCTGAAAGGCTTGTAGATGGATGGGGAGAACAGATTTCTTATGACAGATCATACCTTAATGATGCTGACATTTCTGTTCCTGATGTTAAGAAGTGCTCTGTGAGGAAGCAGTTGCTGCAGTTTGATAAGAGCTACAGACCTGCATTTTATGGTATTTGGCCTAAGAAAAGGTAGGCTCGTATTTCTTGCTTTTGCATCACCTTTTTTTTAAGTTAAGCCATATTAAGTCTAGAAGACTAGTATCTAGTTGAAAGGTGCATTATTAAATAAGGGAAATGTGTTATTATAGCAATGTGTTAATGTTAAATACCACTTCCTCAAACTGTATTCTTTTGTTATTTGTGAAATTTCAAAATAGCTTCCCTTAATTGATTAAAAATGCCTTGAATAAATTGATAAATTTTAATCATTCTGTGCTGTGGTTTAGATTTTCTGATTTGTACAAGTTGTATCGTGGGGATGTAACTAGTGTGTTCATTCAATCCTATTAAACAAGCTTGGCCAAAGTTCTTTTGTATTCATTTATGAAGCTTCATGAGCAAGTATGAACACTGCTTTGAGGCATGGTCTAAAAGATTGATGTTCAAACATTTGTAAGTTTGACTCATTAATGTTCATCAACAAATCCACTAAATCCTTTGTCAAAATATTTGTTTTATCCTTGTCAATTTCACTACATTAAGCTTTAATATCTTTAAAACAATTCAAATCATGATTTGGCTTTGATTTCATTGAAATATAGATAGAGTATAGATTACAAATCATCCATTATCTTTTAAAAAGTTGTTGTAAAATAGTTCTTTTTGCCTGAAAAGGGAGAAATCATATGGTTAGGAACGTGGTAAATGTGGAGAAATCTTGTATTATTTTTCCCAGTCAATCCCACATTGATGGCGTAAAGGAGATGACATTTATAAATGTGTCCCTCATGTTTTGGCACCAAAATTGAAAGGGATCTTGTTCATTTAGGGTACCATTGAAACTGTCAAGGGTCATTCAGGCCTCATGTTATTTGGCCTGCAAATAGTATGGGTTCTAAGCCTTTTTTTGTTTAATTTTGTTTATAAGAGGAAAAAAATTTTGAGTTTCAAGCTTTACTTGTTTGGTGTGTTTTAAGTTGCTTTTTGTGGTTTAAATTGTGATCTTGGTTTGATCTCGTGTTTGGTGTAGAGCTCATTTAACAAGCTGAGCCGAGTTTGGACACACTTTCTTAACCTTGGTTTGAACTCAATAATTATTCAAGCTCACTTAAATTTAATTGAGCCAAGTGCAAATAAGGAAAACTCCTGCATGGATTTCTCTATGATAACTCCTTTTTTTTTGCTCTAATCTTTAATGTCATTTTAGTACTGTAGCTAGTGGAATGACCTTTACACTAGTGTGATCAACGCATTCTTTACCTCTTGCATCTTTCTAGGATCCCTAATGAAAGGTAATCAACAATTTGAATCACCTAATGGTTTCTTGCGATTTTGTTCAATTAAGTCCAAGCAGTAGATTTTTTTTCCTTAAAAAGCAATGGAAAATGAAGTGGAACATTGATTAAAAATTATCAATCTCTTTGTTGCTCATGTGTTCCGCTTCCAGTGATTGCATCTGCAACTTTCTTTTGTATTGTGTGCTCCCTATCCTGTTCAAAACATCATTTGTTGACTCTTCATTGTTTTAGGATCAAAGAAAAAAATTTAAAGTATCAAATTGTTTGTTTTGTGGATCCCATTACTTTTAATTGTTACGATTGTATGGTAAAATATGATGAGTTCTTAAATCTATTTGCATTTCTATTGTGGCATCTTAAACGGAATAATATTAAAAGGCAATAGTAATAATTTAAGGGGAACAAAGGGTATAGGAATGTTATTTAGTTAGTTTTCATTGTGAAGGTGTTGATTTGATGCTCGTTGCTTTGAATTTCATAATTAAATTGATAATTTGTGGCTTTCCTGTATCTTCAGCAATGTTGTGAGACCTCGCTGCCCATGGAGGAAGGACCCAGATTTAGATTACGATGTTGATAGTGATGAAGAATGGGAGGAGGTACTTTAGGCTTGTTATTCAGACTGAATTTAGATGTAAACCTGGAAATAACATTCTCATTTCACAGGAGGAGCCTGGTGAAAGCCTCTCAGATTGTGATAAAGATGAAGAGGAAAGTTCTGAAGGATGCTCTAGAGCTGATGATGATGATGATGAAATTGAGGATGAATTTTTTGTACCAGATGGATATCTCTCAGAAAATGAGGTAAAAAAACTGACGTGGAAGATATTCTGTCTTGTTACTAGATTCTAAACTGAAAAAGACTCCTATTATTTCTCAATAACGATGGGCTCACAGTGCTTATTTGAGGCTTGAATACAGGGGGTACAAGTAGACAGAATGGAAACTGATGTTCCAGTTGAGGAGACCCAATGTTCCCATATTAGTGAGAAAGAGAAGAATGAGGAGTTTGGTGCATTGCTTTGGCAACAGAAATATCTAAACAATTTAACTGAGCATGCACTTAGAAAAAATCAACCATTAATTATTTTAAATTTATTGCACGAGAAGGCCTCGCTGCTAATGGCTGAAGATCTAAATGGAACCCCTAAATTAGAGCAAACATGCTTGCAAGCACTGAGCATGCGGGTATGTCCTGGTGGGCCACCTGTTGAGTTATCAATAGATATCATGGTACATGAAAATCAAGAAGCTTGTTTGTCAAGCGGAAAGGCTGGTGCAACACCATTCTTATCTGTGGCACCAATTCCAGACTCAGATTTGCCTCTATTTGTAAGTTGTACATTCAATCAAAGTTTAATGTATTATGCTTGTGAATATATTTTCCCTGCTGTTCATGAATCTTTTCATGATATTAGTGGTAAGGAGATCTTGTGACATGTTAGGAGCTTGGAACTTTAACTTCTGTCAAAAATGCTAGTGCAAATGCAGTGTTTTGTTGCTAATGATGATCTTGCTGGTCTTAGGTATCTACAATTCAGTCATGCTCCTCCTATGGCATGAATAGGTTGGTAGAGTCTTTGCAACAAAAGTTTCCTTCAATTCCAAAGTCTCAGTTAAGAAGCAAAGTGCGTGAGATATCAGAATTCTCCGATAATCGGTGGCAGGTAAGTGATTCATTTCCTCATTTTAGATCTGGGTCTTTGCCAGTGGCATCTCTTGTTTTCTTTTTATTACTTTGTTCTCTTCGAGTGCTTACATGGAGGACATAATACCTTTTTGGGAATGCTTGTTTTAAGTGTTGAATAAACCTCACAATACCCAAAATAATGAATGTGATAGAGGAGGGAAATGTAAGATTAATGGTTTGATACTGTAAACCATTTTCATGAATTAATTAGCTGAATTAAATCTTTTTGTTTTGCATATCTTTCACCTAGTTTTCTTTCTCCTCTGGCCTTTTCAAATGTTTATAAATTTTCTGATTAATTTTCATTCTTCAAAGTTCATGGTGGCTGGTCCTTAACAAGGGAGGCTTAAAATTAGGTTCATTTAAAACTTTGACTTGAATTTCCAAACAAAGCTGGTGTTACATACATTTGATGCAGGCCTTTCCATTGAGCAGCAACTGTCATGCATTGAGAATTCCTTCTGATATAACACTGCACTTGGTTTACTTAATCAACCACTTCCATGCCCGTAAGGATTTGGGTCATTATAGAAACAGACTTTAGATGACCCATGTCACGTCTGCTTTGAGTTTTCACAAACTATATGTTCTACTGATATGGGGGTGACCTTTTTCTGCAGGTCAAGAAAGAAATCTTACTGAAGCTTGGCATTTCAATTTCACCAGGTTTTTATGCATCTCTTTGGTTTCCCTTAACTAGTTTAATTGTTAATTTCTTTTGGCTGAACCATTTTTTTAACCCAACTGACAGAGAAGGGTGGTACACGAACCAAAAGTATTGCTGCATTTTTCTCGAAAAGGTGCTTGTCTCCTGACATGAATATCAGCCTTGTTGAAACCTCTCCTCAGCAATTACTGAAACCAGGTTCTGCTGCCCAGGAGCAACAGGGTTGTACATACAACCATACATAGCATTGTCATTTTTGGAGATGATTTCCTTCACTCGACTCTTTTTACTCAACTTATGGTATGAATTGTAAGTTATGTGGGTTGTTGAACTTTGGTTGATCTGGTGTATGGAGTTTTTGATGCTGCATCTGATATCATCTGATATGTTGGTCGTTAACTTTGCAATTCGAGTAAGGTTTTTCGTGTTTGGTCAGGGATTATAATTTTAATTTGAAAATTTAAACGAAATACATCTGAAATGTCTCCCGGAAGTTAGAAGCGTCCATCTATCAAATGGCATTCGTAATTCATGGAACAGCTTTTATCTGCTTACTGGAGGGATCCATGACCAAAACTACTACCAAACAAATTAAGTTGCGTTGATTTCGCCATAAAACAAGCATGTCTTGTAGTGTAAACGCTTTCCCTTGCATGATGAAGTCCATGGATGAAGGCTAACACTATCATTTGGGAGCTCCATTTTCGGGTTTTTACCGAACTGGAAGGTGCGATTTGTAGTTGAACTCTTCTTTCGTATAATCGGTCAAAAATCGTTCAAATTTTGGTTAAATCGGATTAGACTAGATTGGTTGAACAGGATTTGATCGGATTTTAACATTTTTATTGTTCAAATTATTATTTATTTTATAAAAAATATTTAGAAAGTGGTCAGATTCAAACGTTTAATAATTGAAGTACTCATTATTAATTAAAATGCATTTATTTGTCTAATTATTTGTCTAAGTATTTGTCATATTTATTTTATATTTATAACAAATGTTGCATTTAAATCAGAATTAATGCTCATAATTATATCAATCAATAGAACATTCAACCGATTCAACTTCCGATCTAACTATTACAATCTTCTAATAATTTTATAAAATAGAATTATTTTCAGTATTTAAATGAGCTATATTTTGCTTAGTAAGATTTGTTTTGCTCAACTTAAAAAAGTTAGAATTGTTTAATTTTGGTGAAAAATTTAAAAAATTCATGCAAGAAAGAAGCAAAACATGTTCGGCTATAATTTTGGTTAAATTTGAAGATTTAAGTTGAATACAAATCCATGATAACTTATGTAAGTGCACATATATATGATTACTATGGATGACATGATTGATTGCAGGTTTTTGTATAGCTTGCAAATGTACAAATTAAGTAATAATAATGGAAGTATTTCAATATTATTTGTCAATAAATTATAGATTATAATGTTGGGTTACTCTTCAAGTACCAATGACAAGATCTTAGTTACCTATATTTAAATAGATAAAAACTTGGGTTTGTTTGCAAAGTAAAGAAAAAAAAAAGATTGAAAGCAATATAGGCTTGAATTTTTACTTCATAAACTGTCATTTGAAAAGTAAAAGAATATAATCACAAACTAGATCTAAAAAAACAAAAAGTGAAAACTTGAAAACAAGAGAGAATGAGATTGCCGAATGCTTGTAAGGAACTTAAAACAATGCTTGCATAAAAATAAACTTATAGATCATCTAAAAGACTAGTGGTTGAAACTTGTAGAAAGTAAAAGAGGTTGTAAATCAAACTTTAAAATAAAGAGAATGCTTTGCCAAAATTAAGAGAATAAAAACAAGATTTGAAACAAGAATAATGAAAGAAAAGATCTTGAAAAAATACTTTTTTGATTGAAATAATTTGAAGAATAAAACTTTGGTTATTTGCAAATTTGTCACCTATATCAATACCTTAAACTTAAAAAAAGTGAAAAAAAAAAAGGGAAGAATGACTTTCTTATTTATAGTGAGGGATTTGGCTAAGGAGGATAAGCATATAAGATTTTGATTTAAATTTAAATATTAATGGATAAAGGCTTTCTTGATCTTCAAAGTTGTAGAAAAAATGTGGATTCTTCAATCTTGAGAATATATGGCCGAACGGGGGTTTTTGGTTTTCATCATGTCTGTTGGATCATACTTAGCTTCAATTTTAATCATAGCTCTATGATAGTTTCAGCTAAGGCTTAGGATTTCAAGACTAAATTGATTTTTTCTTCAATTATCTTGATAATTATCTTGCAAAGTCCTTCTTTATCAAAACTCTTTAAATGGTTGATAAAAAAGTCATCATGAACACAAACACTCATGGTCGAATATGATAAAGGTTTGAAAAGTCTTTGAGCTTGCAAGCTAAGCTTTATCTTTTCTAGCATTTGAAATGATTGAATGGATAGGGTTCTTGTGCATGTTTAACTTTTTCAAGAACAACAAAAAAGAGTTCTTCTAAGATAAAAACACATTTGCCAGATCATGTAAGAGTCTATGGTAGCTTGAAATTCTTCAAACATCACATGTGTACTTGATGTCCTTTTGAAAGTGAGTTAGTCAAATGTATGTAGGGTCCTTATGCAAGCAAAATTTTTTCATGACTAAGTAAAAGAGTTACTCATGGATTAAATCTCTTTGATCAAATACAAGAGAGAGTTCATGTGTAAGTAAAACTTTTTTTTTTGTTGCATGGTTGAAGGAATTGCACCAATGAGGTTTGGCCAACTTTTGGTCTTGCTTGGCCGATTATCTCTTTTATCCATGTATTGCATGTTTTCTTCATCTATAAGCTTGAAACCTTAAAAATCACAAAATAGGCCTTAAGGCACTAAAAATCAACAAAATTTTAATTTTTGCTCCCATTTTAACATGTAGAACACTATATTTTAAAGTGCTATCATACTCTCGCACTTAAATCTTTATTTGCCTCAAGCTAAAACTTCAAATCAACTAAACTAAAAACTATTATACATACATGCAAGGTTAAAAATTACATAAAATTTCAGTCATACTCTATTGTATAATACAAAGCTAACTACAAACATAGAGTTATAAGAAATTCTTTCAAAAACAAGCTCTCAATACTTATGTTCTTTACACATATACATGTACCAAATCTTTAATTCATAAATATAACTCAAGTAAAAAAAAGTCCAAAACACTTCATCACATTTCATTTTAAAGATAGAATAGACTTCATTGTTCACTTTCCCCTTCCCTCTCTATTAATGCTAGACTTGCATACTTGATTTAAGATCAAAAGGTCTTTTAGGCTTATAATGTAAGGCTTGAGTCAAGGTAGGAAAAAAAAATGATTTTAGGCTCAAAGCCTTAAGCTTACTTTTTTTGAATTTCTTGGACTTTGAAAAGTTGAAAGCTCTTTTTTGAAACTTTAAACTTTTAAGGCATCATTTTATTCTTTATTCATAGCATTTTTTTTTAAATATAGCCATTTTTGGCTTTATTAGGCTTTGCCTTTGTTTTTGCCGTTTTCTTACTTGCATTTCTTACGCTTCCATTCCTTTCAAAATCATAATCATGTCCATAATACATTAGTAAGTACAACTAAGTTAGGTAAACAAAAGAAAGGATAATAATCACAGAAAAAGCTTATTGGCTTATTATGTGGCTAAATAAACAAAGAAAAGAGAATAATATAATAGGCTCAAATTAAAGGTACTGGGGATGCATTATAACAGGGTGGCTTGAAAAAGACTCAAACGGTCTAAAAAATTGTCTAGATCATCTCTTGAGTCAAATATAATCTTGGATTTCGCTTCAAGGGTTGAGTAAGTGAATTCTAGAGCACTTATTCATAGCTTCAAATTTCATGCAAATCCACATCTTGCAAACTGTCACAAGAATCAAAGCATTTCAATAAAAGAGAATAGAAACATATGCATAAAACCCATATCCAAAGTGTAGAGACCCGCACCCAACTGTAACACCCCCAATCCCACATCAGGAGGATGTGTGGATAAAAAATGATATATATGTAGAGACTTAATCCCAAACTTGTGAGGCACCTTTTGTGGGATAAAACTGTGAGACCTTCGGGTCAAAACGAACAATACCTCATAAGTTGGGTGCGAGTCTCCACAAATGGTATCAGAGCGATCACCAGTTCACAGTCGTGGGAATCACTAAGTGCTACATGGTGGAACCGTGGAAGTCACTAAGTGTTACACAATGGTCTGGTGTGATCTTGATCCTGTGGATGTACTCGGCTTGACAGGGACGTCAAGCATTAAAGGTGGGGAGATTGTAACATCCCCAATCCCACATCAGGAGGATGTGTGGATAAAGAATGATATATATGTAGAGACTTAATCCCAAACTTGTGAGGTACCTTTTGTGGGACAAAATCGTGAGACCTTCGTGTGGGATTGGGGGCATTACAATCTCCTCACCTTTAATGCTTGATGTCCCTATCAAGCTGAGTCCATCCACAGGACCAAGATCACACCAGACCATCATGTAACACTTAGTGACTCCCATGGCTCCACCGTGTAGCACTTAGTGACTCCCACAACTGCGGACTGGTGACCATTCCGTTACCATTTTTGTAGAGATCTGCACCCAACCTGCAAGGTATTGTCCGCTTTGACCCGAAGGTCTCACGGTTTTGTCCTACAAAAGGTGCCTCACAAGTTTGGGATTAAGTCTTTACATATATATTATTCCTTATCCACACATCCTCCTGATGTGGGATTGGAGGCGTTACAATTTTTATGGAGACTCGCACCCAACCTGCGAGGTATTGTCCGTTTTGACCCAAAGATCTCACGGTTTTATCCCACAAAAAGCACCTCACAAGTTTAGGATTAAGTCTCTACATATATATCATTCTTTATCCACACATCCTCCTGATGTTTTGCTATTTCAAAATAAGGATTAATCAATTTAAGGCACACACAATTTTGTATGAAAGGTACAAGCTATATCAAAGATAAGCACATAAACAATGTTTGTAAAAGTTAAAAAATAAGTTTAGCAATTTTGATATCAATTGTTACCAATTGTTAGCAATTTTATTCAACAACTTTCATAGAATAAACATACTTCAAGCATATGAAAGATTCATTCAATACATGCATAAATGATAGTAGTAATCTTTCATAAGCTGTCCTATCCAAACAAGAACCAAAAGTTCATATGTATATAATAAATCATAAGTACTAATGAGCAATGAGGTTCAATTATCATCATGTCATAACAAAGATTATTCAAGTAATTTCCAAACATGATGAGCACATATGCTATAACAAAGAAATAATGAAAGCATAATTGTTCAATTATAATCCAAATTATTTCAATGCATAACAATGTACTTAATCTAAGCATATGCAAGTATTCAAATATATATTTATTTCAAACAAAATCACACAAGCATATGCAAGAACATTTCAAAACATGTATAGCAATATACCAAAAAAAAATGCAAACCTTTAGACATAATATGGTACATGCTATCTCAATGGACTCAATCAATGAACATGTTCAAAGAAATCAATCTAGTTAACTCATATCCATATCCAAAGATTCAAACAAATATTCATGCAATTAAAACTATTAATCAAAGCAATCAAGAACTAGGCATGAATATTAATGAAGGTGAATTAATCAATCCAAGCTTTAAAAAAAATATTAAGACAAATTTTATCAAGTAACTTGGTGATTAATTTGTGCAATGTGTTCATATCTTCAACCGAAAAATCATATATTTACACA